GTATCTACACATAATGTACCATCATTTTTATTCCATGTATATTTGAGTGGTGAATATTATGGTGGCTTCTCCTTTCAGATTTGACCCTGACTCAGCCATCAGAATTCTCATATATCTCAGTGGTTTTGGATAATCAGCATAAACTATACAGACTCAAGTTCTGTATTCACAGCTGTGAAAAATCAGCAAAAACTCAACAAAACCACTAGAAAAAAAACATCCCGTTAGTATAATTTTAAATCTATCAGCCTTGTTATTCTTGTTCCTTTAACTTCAAACAGGCAATGCTGTTGGTTTTGTTATTGTTTTTAATCTTGCTTCATTTTGCCACAAGCACTGGCGTGGGTTGTCCGAAAGAAATATTTCTGTCCACTTTCTCTTCAACTATAAAGATAATATGCTTGGACTTGGAATGTGTGAATCATTTGCTGTGTGCTGAATTTTCAGTGTATTTAGACTGCATGAATCACCATTTTTATTGAGCAATTGTGTACTGAGTCACACACTTATTTCAGTGGAGATTTCATGGCCTATATTTCTTAGCACAAAGATTAGACAAGTAGAAACTCAATTGGCATAATTACTGTCAAGAACAATAAAATGTATCTTACGTTCTCATTGCAGAAAGGCAAGTTGGTCAGGTTAGAAATATCTTTGGGGAAAAGACACAGCTTTAAAACAATGTTTTTCCACTTTTCTTACAAGTAGCAAACTTGTGACTGTGGCTGAGAGCTGGTCAGTTGTGAATTGTCTTTGACCATGCTCTCCCAATTTCTGGTTTTCTCTGTGTCAAAATGATTAATTCAGAGTTCACTGGATTCTAACTGGGTTCCGCTGCTGGTAGGCAGAATATTGTGAGTTGGGATGCAGTAAGTGTTATATCCCCCAAACAATTTTTAGAACTTCAAAATTTTTCTGAGTGTGAAATGGAAAAAATAACTGTCAATTTCCAGAGCCAACTTTTTTTTTTTTTTTAAATAATGTACATTATTCTCGTTCTCTTAGCTACTTCACTGCCAACATTCTTAGAAAGACACCGTTCTTTGAAGTTGTTTATCAGGAATGCTGAAGGAGGAGAAGGTGTTTTGGAAGCATTACATTACATTGCATTGCAGTATGTCAGGTATTTGTGAGAGGGAGGGTTTTTCTCAGTGTCAGATTATTTTCATAGAACTCTCTGTTTAGGAGGATGAAATTTATGGTACCCTTTTTTTTCCTCTTAAAAGAGCATTCAAGATTCTTCTTTCAGTCAGTGGGAACACTAGCTGTGTCTCGTATGCAGAAGTCAGGATTGTCTTACAGTCCAAAACATTTACATGATTAATTCATGCTGTATGGGAAACTCTTATAATTCTTGATAAATATCCGCAGAAATAGTATGAGGTGGACATTTGAGAACAACATTGGTTTTGAAATAACAAACCCAGATCATATCTTTCTTAGGAAATAGGAGTGTTAATTCTGAAATCCATTTAACTGGAAAGTGACTCATGTCTTGGGACAAGCCAGACTTCGAGCACTCCTGAAGTCTTACATTGCTCTTCATGGACAGCTGTCTTTATGGACGTGCTGAAATGATAATCCAGAACATTGAAGAGCACTGTATATGTCATCAATTGAACAGGTTTCTTTGAGTGTGAAAGAACAAAATGTAGAAGACTAGAGCAAAACCCAGCAAACCTCCCAGGTTGCATGCAATGCCGGGTTGAGAGTCTCTACCTGATAGTCTCCAAGCTCAAGGAGGGAGGTAGTTTCTCTTTTGGCTCAGCAGAACAAGAAATAGAGGCTTTTGGAGTGTTAGGTTAACAGTTGGACTCAATGATCTTAAGGGTCTTTTCCAACGTAAATTGATGATTCTGTGAACTCCACAGAGGATAAAGAATAGCTCTAATCTGAAAGACGTTGACTGAGAGTCCTTTTGCCTCCTCTAAGTGTAAATGGCACTTAGACCTACATTTAATACAACTTTTCTGCAGAATGGAGGAATTGGACCTTCAGTTTTGTGGGGCTTCTTCAAAGACTGCATGGAAGTTTTTTTCCAGGGTGCTAATAGGGTAAACAATTGGTAGTGACAAACAAATAGGAACTGTCAAATAAGAACTGTTAGTGAATGTAATTGTGAAAGTGTTTTACAGTCCTGCTGGCTGTCAATAAAGCCCTGACTGACTGTTACCATCAGTTGTCTTTGAGAATTTGTACAAAGTGCAACAAAAATGCTGTGACGTTTCAGGTGACCTGTCGTGCTATATGTAGGAAATGGGTATGAGAAAAGCCAATGTGAAATATGTTCATTTTCAGTATTGTATTTACATATAAACATTTAACTACATTACTATATCCATACTGTTATCAGAAGAGCCATGGTGAAGTCTGCTCCAGAGGCCCTAATTCAGGAAACGTTCTTTGTTTGACTCAGAAAGTAATCACATGCTTGCAATTAGGGAGATGATGGGAAGTTTACTGAGGCCAGTACAAATACTTCCACTCTTTGTAATATACTTTGAACTCGGTTCTAGGAATTTTTCTTGCTAGTAATGAGCTTTTAATATGCTTTTAACTGCTTTCCTAAATGGATGTTCTTGGTATCCTGCACGTGCTGAAGCGCCAGGCACGTTAGGAAAGCTTCTGCTCTGCAGCTTGATTTCAGAGACAGCTCCGAGAGGACAGGCTCATCTTCTCTATTTCACAACTTGGGGAGCTGCATGGATGCACTGATACATCAGCCAGGAGGGAGTTTCCTGTACTTTGAAGAGGATGTGAGGAGACAAACTAATAGACAGTAACATTATACATTACAGAAAGCCATTTTCAGCCTGTTAAAATAGACCTTTTAATGCAATATCTGTACTCATTGGCAGAGTGAAAAAAAAAAAAAAAAATCTCTACTGGAGAAAAACATGGTATCTGATCCAATAATAATCCCTTTCATCTTCATGTCAATAGGATATAAACTAATAATCCCCACCAGTATATCTTGGATAAGTTCTGGTCGGTGAGGCTCTAGCAAGAGATCCATAGCTCCATATCCATTAAAGATGTTTTTGGTTCATTATGAGCAGGTTGACCATGAAGACTTAACTCAGTTTGTATCAGAAAGTTAGTTTAAATCAAACACTATAAAATGTAAAACATTGTCCTCTGGCTTCACCCACTTGTTTCAGCTGGAACAACAAATGATGTCATACCCACTTACATGTGCTTAGAATGTTAAAAGGAGTTCCGTGGAAATAGCAGCACAGTGATGATGATGACAGTGGTGAAAAAAAGTAGATAAGAAACCAGACAATACACTGAAAGAGCGTAACTGGCTATTTTTCAGCCAAGTGCCGAGTTTAGATTTGTAAAAGAAATTGTTTCTCACGTGTACAAAACTAACGTGTGAGATGAACGAATGTACAAAATTAACATCTGTTTGGTCTCTTTGCAACGTGATTATAAATAGGAGGCGAGCCTTTTATGAGAGGAATTTTAATGATGTTCTTCCCAATGTGAATTGTGTTTCCACTTAGATTTGCTAAATGGTGGCATGGGAATTGGACACATCTAATTATTGCATTTTTTAAATCATCAGCCTTGTGATTATCCAATATTGTTTCTAAATTAGCACTATGTGAGCAAAGAGTTTTGTTACGCTATAATGTTTCTTCAATAATGTATGTTTATGAAAAGATTGTCTAATTAATAGTCCCTAGGGCTCCAATTTACAGTAAAGTCCTTATTTCTTTCTTTAATGTCTTCCGATGGGGGAAAAAAAAAAAAAAAAAAAAAAAAGGAGACAGATAAATTCATGTAATTTAAAGCTATTTGCAAATACTTATTATTAACACAAAGAATTTTCAGTCTTGTTTGTAAATTTTGACATTCAGCTGAAATGCCACAGTAAAGTGTTTGATGGTGGGACAGTTTAGACTCCAGATATCCTTACCTGGGTGACATCTGTGTAACTCCATGGGTTTAAACAGAGCTATACCCTTAAGCACGGCCGCCTCTATGGCCCTCTCTACGCACTTTAGTAAGCACTAAGGCTATTTGATAATATTTTGACAATGTCGTGCGATGTCTCTAGAACAGTGAATAGAATAGATTGCGATGGGAGGAAAGTCTTCAGACAGGCTGTTGGCATCACCATTATTAATTCTAATTTTTGCTGAGACTTGGTAAGCAAATTATGAGGTATCTATTATTTACTGAAGGAGTGTATCCCGCTCTGTTTATGGACTCGTCCAGATTATATCTATTTTGCTGTTTTGGCCACATCAACACTGCCTTTACCTTTATGATTTTTCTATATGAGGTTTCACATTGTAGTTAGTACAAGAAGGGTGGGCTTGGTTTCTATCTCAGTGGAGGCAGGTGTCATCAGAATTCACTGGGGAAAATCATGTTTAAATTAATGATATTCTTCTCTCTTTGTTTGTTTTGAATGGAATTGTTGCTGCATAGGGTAAAGGAGAGAGAAATCTCCATTACTGGGCAGAGCACGGCTGTGGCAACTTGTAATGTACGGGCATTGCCGTGCCGCTAACACGCTGCGTCATCTCAAGTCACCCAGCTGTAGTAAATCAGAGTGTGTTGAAAGAAATGTTAAGGTGGCTAATTACTCTCCACTGCGTAATGTTTTCAAAACGTGTTTTACTACCTCTTGACGGTATAGTAGTATGTTTTTGCTGGTTTTATTCCTGTTGGACTTCCTCTTCAAGTCCTTAATTTTGTGATAATATTGCAAATACATCTCATGTAAGAAAGATCTTGAACCTCACCTACACTGCAGTGTTTCAGCTGACAGTATTCATCTGGTTCCAGCGGAACAAACATTATGTTGTGTGATAGCAGAGCCACAAATTTATGAACTAAACGGAAAGCTTTTACAACTAAGAAACAATCCAAAAAAAATTAAGTTTCTGCCACAACCCATTTGCAATGAAATAATTAATAGTGGATCTATTTTTGCTGCTGCATTGTCTAACTATATGTCTTTTTTTTTTTTTTTTTTTTGGCAGTTGATGAAAACTGTGAATAAAATGTGCCCGAATATCACAAGAATTTACAATATTGGAAAAAGCAACCAAGGATTAAAGCTGTATGCTGTCGAGATTTCTGACAACCCAGGAGAACACGAAGTTGGTTAGGATTTAATCTAACTAAATCTGTTGAAGGGTGTTGGGATTTGTCTTTTTTTTTTCCCCCCTCCTCATTCTCTGTATCTTCCGTAATTATCACTGATGGAATTATATTCGTGGCAGCAAAGATTTCCAATGTATGTGGGAGGAACGTCAGCACTATATTTCTAAATTGGGAAGTGGAGAGTGAGCACAAATAGAAGGCATTTTGAATGTGGAATCAAATTCTTTAATGATAATAAGTTTTATTCTTTACAATAACAACATAAAAGTGAATGTTAGGCCTCAGGAATGGATTTTAGTTGTGGAGATTTATGTAGCTTTGGATAGAAATTTACCTTTTATTTTTATATGGGGTAAATGCATTGCAAGCGAGAACAGGTCAAATCTCCCAAATCATCCTTCACTGGTGAGTGTTGGGGTACAATATCCTACACTGATCTAATTCTTCAGAATAGAAAGTAATTCAGTCTTTGGTCTTTCTGTGGAGAAAAATAAAGATCTCACTACGATAGTTCCTGGAGCAGCTGTTGGAATAAAGGCATCTTGTGCTTTGCCATGTCCATAAATACCCTGATATGTGTTCCTACCACAAAAGGAGGTGTGCGGCGACATGCTCCTGAGACATCTTCCTACTTTGCCATAAGGGATGGAGCACAATAGACATAATCTCCCAGTAGGCTTGGAACTTAATTTAGACCGCAATCTCTGAATCTCAGATGTTAACACCAGAATAATTCATCCAATCTGCCTTGCCTATTTACTTACTTATTTTTGAGAGTCCTGCAGAAAATACACAAAGGGTGCACCATGGGCCAGACAAACTGGAAGGGTGGATCCAGCCACAAGCCATAGCTTGGCCAGTTAGGCTGTCCTGTCGATGTCTGCAAGTGTTATTCATACAAAGGACAAATAAATTATGGAGCTTTTTTTTTTTTTTAAAGCTGGCATTATTCCTATTCATCTCCGAAGTATTTTGTAGTTGAGTGCAACTATTGTGGCATTCACTATAACATTCAAAAATATCTATGAACCTGTCTTTTTGATTAATGAGGGAAAAGGAGTGTCTGGAGTCAGAGATCAATTATGTACAGTTACTGACAGTTATCTTTTAAGAGCCTTAGCATCTGTCCCAAATATCTATTAGTGATGTATTTTTCATGTTATTTTTAGATTATCAGAACTTTTAAGATCTAGCTGTAACGTGCTGAAATTGTGAGTATAATTAAAAATCTGTTTAATGGAAAATAGATTTTGGAGGTTTTACACAGTGACTTTAGATATCACCGATACGTAAACCTGTTCTTTTAAAATAGCAACGGAAAGTAATTATTTGTTTCTATAAAGTTACATCTCATCTATCATTTGCCCAGTTAAGGCATTGCTCCAACTCTCCTCAAGCGAAACGTTGCTGACTGACATCAGTGAAATTTGGTTAGATATTTATTTACTGCTCTGACTATACTTCTGCCCCCTGTGTTTTCGACAGGTGAACCTGAATTTCGGTACATTGCGGGAGCCCATGGGAATGAAGTACTTGGACGTGAACTAATCCTTTTGTTAATGCAGTTTATGTGCCAGGAATACCTGGCTGGGAACCCACGTATTGTTCATCTCATTGAGGACACCAGAATCCACCTCCTGCCCTCAGTCAACCCAGATGGCTATGACAAGGCATATAAAGCGGTAACGTAAATATGGACATATCAAGGAATTATTTTACTTCTAGTAGATGAATAAAACATGCTCCTGCTGTCATTATTTTTTTTTCCCAAAGATTATGTTTTACAAGCAATCAAAATAAAATAAATTTAAAATAGACACATCAAAGCAAACACAAACCACTGAAACATCTTACTCGGAAAAGCTGAAAGAAACAACATTCTATGTGGCATTGGCTAACAGGAAGATGTGTATGAAAACGAGGGTCATAAAGACTGCCAGAACAACCTATACTGAGGTGTATAGATCAATGGGAACACCATTATGGAAAATTCATGCAATCTGTTTCTCATGAGGAACCAAGCTAAGCACGTGAAAATTTGTGTTCCTCCACAGCTGAAATTTAATAGTGCGTCCTTAAGGAGAGCACAGTGTGTTGGGCATTGTAATAATTCAGTCTGGAAGAAGACAGACACCAGGAGGAAAAATTTCAGGGGCTGGTCAAACACACTGGAAAATCTTCCAGGGCAGTCTGTAAAAGACTGGAATACAGAAGTGGCACTCACAGTCGTGGAAGGGAATATATGCTATCCATTGTAACCCAGGGGAAAACCAATCTTAAAGAGAAACCTGGAATACAAACCAGAACATTTTGGCTAACCACAAGTAATTTTTCATAGGTTTTTCTTCACCTCATTCAGGGTTTCATAAAAAATGAAAAACAAGCAAACAATTATTTTAAATATTTAATCATTCCATTTCCCTGTATAGAAATATTTCTGACACATCCACAAACACTTTGCTGAGGACTCGCAGGTTGTCATTTTTTTTTTTTTCTTTTTTTTTTTTTTTTTTATTGTTAATCTAAGGGTTCAGAATTAGGGGGCTGGTCTTTAGGACGATGGACTCAGGACGGCATTGACATCAACAATAATTTCCCTGATTTAAACTCCTTGCTCTGGGAGTCAGAAGATCAAAAGAAGAGTAAAAGAAAAGTTCCAAACCATCATATCCCGATCCCCGACTGGTACCTGTCCGAAAACGCCACCGTGAGTAAGGCCAGAGAGAGGGGAACACAAAGGGGAAAATAAAAATGCACAACAAAAGTACCATTCACCTCCATATTATAGAGGGAAATGCTTGCTGGAGGATCCTTTTTCCCTCAAGCTATTGCAAGAAGCTGGAGGACTCAATACCCAACTAGGCAGCAACAGGTAGACAAAGAGAAACCCACCACAGGGCTCAGTCTTCTCCCGTTTCGCAGCATCGATGAACTCTTTGCAAACTTAGTCACCATACAGATTTTTTTTTTTCTGGGGTTTTCTTATTTGTTCTTATTTGAAATATATTCTTATCTGAAACAACAGAGCAAATGCTGACGTATATGCAAAACCTATGCGGTGTCTCATGCTAAAGTCATTTATTGGATCTTAGTGCCAAAACTGAACTTATTTTTGCATGGCCTTTTAAATATAACGGCAACTATTTATAGTGGCTGAGATTCCCCCAGTTTGAGGGGAAGGTGCTTAACTGTGGCAGTTCTGTGGGCTTTAGAAGTATTTGTGTTTAAAATCCCTTATTTCAAAACCTCATTTCAGCTGATGGCAGAGGGAGCAGTGTTATGGTCTGACGTCTCTGTCAGTTGCTGCTCTCGGCCTCATTCTACGTAGATGTTCCTGCTACATAAATTACTAACATTAAGGTTTTGTTAGCTTTTATGGGTTGTTGGTGACCTCCCAAGCATGGCTGTCAGGCGCCACGATTTAAAGAAGTCATTTCCTTGGTCACATCTCTGTGCTGGCTGCTTGCTCCATGCTAAGAAACTCGCAGTGGGCCTCCTGCATCTGGTCTGCCTTTGAAACAAGATTATCGCATTTCACGGGTTGAATCAAAGCTGCTGATTCTTTTTCTCCCAGGTGGCAGTTGAGACGCGTGCGATCATAGCATGGATGGAAAAAATCCCTTTTGTGCTGGGTGGCAATTTGCAGGGAGGAGAGCTGGTGGTGGCATACCCCTACGATATGGTGCGATCGATGTGGAAAACCCAGGATTACACACCTACCCCAGATGACCACGTCTTTCGCTGGCTTGCGTATTCCTACGCCTCCACGCACCGGCTGATGACAGATGCACGAAGGAGAGCGTGTCACACAGAGGATTTCCAAAAGGAGGACGGCACTGTTAACGGAGCATCCTGGCATACCGTGGCTGGAAGTAAGTGTCTCTAGAAACTGTAATTACCATTAGCTTGCTAAATAAGAGGAGGCTATCTCTGCAAGGTATAACACTGCAGAGGCAATGATGGTAAAACATGTGCCCTGAGAGGAGTATTTCCCCATCTAAAAGTCTGTTTATTACACTTCATCAAGTATCAGAGCACTGAAGAAGTCTGGGTCACTAATAACCGGGCGACTGTTTCATTTGCTGCTGAGGTTTCCAAAAGTTCACGTGCAATACATTACTTGTATGGATTCTGTACATACAAGATGGTTTGTCAGGAGAAAACCAGCCCAGTCCAAACCCACTAGGAGCGGGGAACATGTCGGCGTTTGCCATCTCACAGGATGCCAGCAGAAAACTGCTGCTGAACATCAAAGGTAACCAGTGTCAGAGCCAAAGCAGCGACTCTAGGGAGAGAATCCAGTGGCCCTTGGATAAGAAAATCATTATTTCAGCCTTCTGATTGCTGAACTCCCTTGCAGATCATCCACCACTCATGTTCACTTTGAGTTGTAAAAACATGCTACAAAAAGCTGCTGCTTGCCTGCTACTGTCCTAGTTTTAAAGGACCTGGACATCCTTACACTTAAATTTTGCATGGGTTCCTCAGGCATTTCAGCTGCCAGAATAAATTACAGACTGCATTATTCACCATATGCCCAAGCCTGTTGCCCTGTAAGGAGCATGAAGGGGAAACCATCACCTGGAGTGCAGACCAAGCATCGATTTCCAGGAAAACCCAATTAGAAGCACATTTTTAACAGCAATAGGCAGTTATGTCTGGGGGTGGACACTTCGAGCAGGCTCGGAACCAGGCACTCTGCTGATTCATCACAATTCTGCTCAAATCTTTGTTTTTTATAAGTACATCAGTTCGACAACGTATTGTATAAAATCAAGGACTGAGCTGTGTGTCTGTCATCACTTGAATGACGACGGGCACAACTGCAGCAGTAATGGCAAACAGATGCGAGTGTCTGTGCAGACCGTGTTTTATTGGAGCGGGCTCACGGTTGTAAGTCGCAGGTAGTTTCACTGCATAAACATTTCTAAATTCTGGACATGTCTTTTATGGTTTTTACATTGGCCCATGTAAAGTTAATGCTGGCCAGCCTTTAAAGGCTAGAGCCAAGAATTAACCTTTCAAATATTTTTTTCAGGAGGTTAAAAAGTGCTGGGTGAATTCAGGGGGAACGATTGAACTCTTAGATCATGAGGCCAATGCCTGTCAATGCATTTCTGCAAATTCTTAAAATTAAAAAAAATAAATAATCTCTGAATGCTAATTGAACCCCTTAATTACCAAATTTATGAGTTTAATTTTCCTAAGTGCTATAAGAAACATGATTATGAATCGATCCAGAAAAGAAAACATTGGCCACGTCACTAAGAGCTGTCACACTAAGTTACATTAAGTAATGATGTACAATACAGATGCTGAAGAGTATCTTGATTTCTTAGTAACAATTGCTTATTGGATTTGGTTCATCTGATCTGTTTTACTGCTTTATGATGTTTCTCATTATACTTTACATCCCGCTCTCTTACATTATAGCAAGACTTCCAAGACTGTCTTTGAGAAAAACACTGGAAT